GGGGGGGCCCCGGAGGGGTCCCGTCCCGCCCTCCCCGCGGCCGGCCCCCGCCTGTCACGTGACGCTGGACAAGATGGCGGCTCTCGCCGACGGTATGTGGGGCCGGGATCGGGTCTGGGTCGCTCGGGGCGGGGGTGTCGGCGTCTGGCTCCGGCGGGCTTGACTGGTGTGTGGCGTTGCAGGGTCGGACCTGGAGACGTCGCTGCTGAGCTTCGAGAAGCTGGACCGCGCCTCTCCTGACCTGTGGCCCGAGCAGCGTAAGTGACGGGGCTCCGTGGCAGGAGGTGCGGGGGCCGGGCTGCCCTGGAGCTCTGCCCCCGGCCCGGCCACGTCGCCGTGAGTGCCCTGTGAGGGGTGGGGGGCTGAGGGGGGCGGTTCGTACCGCGCTCTGGTGCTTTTTATGCGTGGGTGAGACACGGGGTGACCCGCACGCTGGTGGCGAGTTGGGGTGACCGCTGCCTGCTGGCTCCTGTGGTAACTGCTGACCACACCAGGCCCAGCTGCCTGCTTCTTTTCCTCAGAGGTGGCTTTGGCTTCTCTTGACTGTCTCTGTGAACCAGCAGCTAGCGCCTCTGCCCAAGTTGCTTGGTCTCATGCAGCCAGCGGGCCAGGTGCCTACGTGGGTGAAACTGTGCTTCTTCTGACGGGGAGGGCAGTGCATTTGGGTCCCAAACCATGACTTCTTCCTTTCCCTTTTGTAGTACCAGGTGTTGCTGAATTTGCTGCTTCCTTCAAAAGTGTAAGTAAACTTTGTTGTTTGCAATTGGCAACTTGGCCATTTTTCACTTGTGTTCCCATCCCTGTTTCCCCTATTTTTCCACTCCACTTCCCATTTCCTTGACAGAGGTGTAGGGACTATTGTCTGTAAAATTACTTGGTTCTAATTGTTTTGGTTGACATTTGAATATGGTCTTTTTGTAGTTTTGCCTTGTCGTACTTAAGTATGCTTTTTTTCTGTTGTGCTTTCTTTTCCACTTATCCACTTAGTAGGATAACTGTATCTTTCTGGTGCTTCAAAATAACAGTAAAATGTACATTCAGCCTAGCTATACCTCTTTGCAATCAAGGTTTTAGACTAGTGCTTTACAACTCCTGGAAGTATTACTGCATCTTACAGCATGGCTTCCAACTCCAGCAGCTGGGCAAAACCATAAGAAAACAGGGTTTAAGGGACAAACTTAAAACCTTGTCTAGGATAGCTTTCTACTGAGGCTGTGGGGCTTGCATCCAATTATCCTTTTAGTTGAGTGATGTGAACTTCTCCATGCTTGAAACAATGCCTTTTGTTTTTGCTTATTGACATAAGAAATTTATGTGATTGAACATGGATTTTTTTTGCTCATCTTTTGACAGCCTATTGCCAGTTCTCCTCCAAAATGGATGGCTGAGCTAGAAAATGATGATATTGACATGTTAAAAGGTATGAGCTTTGGTTGACTGTGTAGTAACCTGAGATGTGCCAAGGGAAAGAAAGAGAGTCTTTGATTTTAAACCTACCTTGTGAACTCTTGCTCAGCACTATTACTGTGATATTTTGCAATGCTTTTCTCTTAGATATTTGAGTTCAAACAAATATTTGAGCTGCTTTAGTTATACAGTCAAAATAGAAAGTTTGTTACAGACTGATCCCCTTCTACCATGAAAATATTCTACTTCAGTTTCAGACCTTCAGACATCTTATTTGGGTCAGGATTTCACAACAGTCTCCCTCCAAATTAAACCTCTGCAACCTATTTTGTCCCATTAATTTCAGTTTTATACCGGTAGATCTTCTCTCTTGGGAACAGCAACAGGAATTAACTTCCACTGTTAGAACAAAAGCTGTTTGAAGATAACATGTATACTTGAGGGGCTGCTGCCACCTTACATTTTAGCTATAAATTACAAGTTAGATTATATAGGTAATTGAAAGCTAAATGTAAATTTATTCTATGGAAAATTCAGTTGTCAGTATATGACAGACTTGCTCTCCTTTTTTAGTACAATAGAACTCCTCCTTTGGAGGAGTTTTATGTTACTAAGCCCTCTAAACCACAAAATCTACCAGCTTTGATTCCTGTGAAAATCTTGAGTTGTTCATTTGTTAATTTGTAAACTTTTATCCCTTGCCTGTTTTGCTTCTTCCAAAATAATCCACAGTATTACAATAAAACAACTTTGCAGTGGCAGCTAGAAGGACAGCTTGAAATGCCAATGCAATTGAATCTGTAACTTTTGATGTGGCTCTGGTTTTAGTTTTATCTGGGATTCTGTAGTTTACAAAGTAACATTGGCAGTCAGGAGCTCAGCATAGGCTTGTGGGGCCACATTTCTCTCACTGGCCTGTACACGTTTCTGGGTGGAGCACCAGTGGATGGCGTCCACCAGCTCTTTCAATGCCTTTGAGGACCACTAGGTGTGGCCCAGGGGGCTCTGCTCCATGTCCCCCCTCAGGAGCTCTCATTCTCATGTTTTGACCCGCACAACACTCCTACCCTGCTTTTTGCCTTTGTCGTCCCAAGAAATTTAGTTGCATCTTTTGCCCATTGGCCCCACACAGTAGGGGCTGTTAGTTAGCTGCATGGGCCTTAAGACCCATGTTAACTTGAAGGATGCAAATAGACGGGAGCTCAGCTCAGCATAAGTCAGGGAACTAGAAAGGCTTCCTTGATCAAGAGAACCAAATCATTTATAAATGTTGGTTTATTAGAGCAGTTTAAGATTGGGAAAAACAAAATGCAACTATCCACTGTTGCCTGGCATTTACATTCTTCACATGATTATTTAGTGGGATATGACCCACAGAAGTGTGAGAAAATGAATGTAGAAATCCTAATGATTTTATTTCTTTTTATGAGATGTAGTAGGCTTTGAAAACACCAGCACACTGAGAGTGGTAGACATCTCCTTTCATAGGATTATCCATTTTAGACAAGACCAGTGGTCCCTTGCCTTTTTGGCCTGTAGGCGGGATGAATGCTCCATGGGCTGCATCTGACCTGTAGGTTGCGCACCCCTGGACTAGACAAATATGCTTAAAGGAAGCACTGTGCTAGAAGAGGAGCAGGTTACAGGGCCAAGTAAATCAGTTCCCTATGTGAACTGCAAGGTACATCTTCCTTGCTTGGAATCATCACTGTGACTTTTGTATCTACCTTGCTTTTCTCATCAAGAAATATTACAGAGGTACAGAATACTTTATCCATCTCCAATTGATGGAGCATGTCAGCAGCCTAGCATACTGGGTCGGTGAAAATGGCTGATCTAGGCTAGCTGCCACTAGAGGGCAATATACAATGTTAGAAATATTCTCTCTGGTTTTTAGAGCTGGGGAGTCTCACCACTGCTAACCTGATGGAGAAGGTACGAGGCCTGCAGAACTTGGCTTATCAGCTGGGGTTGGATGAATGTAAGTACTATACCGTGTTTCTCAACCAGTTTGACCCAAAGGTCAAGTAGCTGGGACTTCAGCTCATTGCCCGATTGGAAAAAAAAAAAAAAATCAAAGTTGTTTGCACTTCAAATAGATGAATCAACGGATATCTCAGACAGTGGGGCTGTGTTTTTATTATGGTGGTATTGGCTTTTTGACAAAATGGTTCAGGGGATGTAAGGTGCAAAAAACTGAGAACTGCTGCTATACTCAAGTAATGATGAGAGTACAGTGAGTTTTCTCACTTAAACTCTTCTTGGCAGAAGGTAGAGGTTTAAGTTCTCTACTTAGAAAAAGTGTCTGTGAAAGCTGTAGCAGTGCATGAGAAAATCATTTTCTGATAAGGGGAGGAGATTGAGGGTTAATGTCCAGTCGTAGGCACCAAAGTTAATTTTGTGGCATGAAACCAAGTTGAATTTTCCAGTCCTTGTGGATTTAAGCTTTCATCCAGAATGTTGAACTAAGTTCCTTTATATAAGAAATATGTTGTGTTTTATGCAGTTTCCTCCACAGCCTCTTTTGCTGTAAAGCAATGAATAAAGAAATTCCCCCTCTAACTTTACGCTTCCTACCTTTGCAGGAATACCTAATTATAGCAGAAGAAAGCTAGTTAGCATTCCAGAGAAGTATATCTACAGGGTAGTGTGGGGAGCAAAGAGGTGGCATTCCTGACTTTGACCTTGGAGAAAAGACATTTCATATTCTTTCTTTGTCAGGATAACAGAGGTACTTTCAAGATGCATATCCAACTACTTTCAGTTCCTGGATACTTCTACCACCTGTTACTTCTGGGTCAGTTCCTTTCTAACCTCCACTGCTGATGGAGCTCCTGTTAACTTCCACCTCCCCAGGTCTTGGCTATCTGATTTTATTTCCTTAAGTCAATTTTTTTTTTAAGCTGTAACTTTTTTATTTTTACACTTTGACACCAGGACTCTCCCCCACCACCCTGCTCCCCCAGGCTACCACTTAGCTAACTCTGGGGACTTTCATGGGCTGATGTTGATTCTAAAACACAGTGTGCGGCCTACACCTCCAAGGCACTTTATATTTGTTCCTTTTCCTAACCCAGGGGTGGGCAATATACAGCCTGTGGGCTGGATTCAGCCCACCAGGCCATTCTGTCTGGCCCATGGGGGCCCCTAAAAAATTTAGAAAATTTAATATTCATCTACCCCTAGCTGCCTGTCAAAGCTGACAAGCCAGGGGCAGTAGGACCCAGGGGGAGCCACTGGCAGTATTAAGCAGCTTCAGAAGCAAGGCCCAGCTGGCCTTGCCTCCCCTACCCCCAGCCAAATGTCCCCGTGTGGAGCAGAGGCTTCTGGCCTGGGACTGTTGGGCTGTTTGTGCCTCTCTGTGCTGGAGTGAAGTTCAGATAAGAAGGTGGGGGGGAGGTAGGGGAGGACTGTGGGTGATCGTCCCTGTCCTCAGGATCAGAAGCCAGTGTTGCAGCTGGGAGCCATGTGGTGCCGGAGCGACCAGTTTGGGGTGGAGAGCAGCAGCAACAGCCGCAGGCAGGAAAGCTGTGAAAGTGGCAGTGGGGTGAAGGGGAAAGCAGAGAGTGGGCATGTGGGAGCACAGCTCTTGTCCGTGTGCCAGGGCCAGCAGGGCCCAGAGTGGGGCAAGAGGAGCACAGGGCCCAGTCTGGAAGGGGCTCTGGAGCTGGACCAGCTTCCCCTCTCCCTGGTGGCTCAGCCTGGCCTGGATCCATGGAGCCCCTGCTGGCCTGCACCGCCTGTGCTCCTGCCACCAGCACTGGCCCCGGTGCACGGCTTGGGCCCTGTACTCCCACCCATGTGCCTGCTTCCACCCATGTGCCAGCTGACTCCTGCTCACCTGTGCCGCAGCCATTTGCCCACCACTGCCACCGCTCCCCTCCACCCTCTGCTGGTTGCTGTGGCATCATGTGGTTCCCAGCTGTATTGCTGGGCCGTAGAGTACAGCAAGAGCTGACTGGGCCCTGTGATTCTTGGCTGGCCACGTGC